AAGAACAGAAAAGGGCGGAGTGGGTGGGTTCTTTTGGGCACGGCCGATCGGCTCGTGCCAAAATGGCCACGGATAAATGGCCTCAGGGCAGTTCTTACGATCGCAAAACTGATCCCCCAATTCCAGACCTACCTAGCCGATAATTAGGAGACACATATATGTATATATATATATATAAATAAACCTGTATGTGTATATATATATATATGTGTGTGTGTGTATGTGTGTGTACGAGTGTGTTGATATGCGTATATGTATGAATGTGTGCATGTGTATATGCATATACGCAGTTGCATATGTTTGTACGTATCTATGCTACATGTATATAAAGATACACGATATAAACATACTACATGTTATAAGTGGTGTAGAGTACATGCTACAGGTCTGTAAACATAATTGTTTGATTATATTGTTGCCTGTGGGGACTTTTTATAGCATATGCTATACCGTATCGAACAGGCATTACCTGCCATGGATTTCATGTTATATGGTAGACAGCACATTGCACATTGTGTGTTACATATTTCATGCACAGTCTATTATGACTGGTATCATGTTCTTATACGTAAGTAAGTCTGTATGTATGTGTGTGTGTATGTATATATATATATATTATTTATCAAGAGAGGGAGAGAGATCTCTGCACATTATGCCTCGTATATCACACATCATGCATTACACCTATTCCAATTTAACTTTTCAGCTGCAGATAGCACAATGTATAAATAAACTACACTACATGCCACACCTGCTCTATTGCAAACTGTGATGTAATACTTGAGATTACTACACGTCATTACATGATGTTGTATTTTGCTGTGCACGACAATATACTGTTCTACACTCGTATGTAGTATGATACATTGTACACATACATGTAATATATACTTGCATTGCTCTCTATTGTTATGTAGTGTAGTGTGATGAATGGACATATGCTACTCGACACTGCAAACCTTTATTTTGTTTTCTTAGAGCTGCCTTACATCTTCATGTCATGTTATCTATTGTTACATGTTACAAAGTTTATTACCCTAACAACCTGTGTTACTACACTATTAAAATAATGTTAAACGTAAAGTAACTGCAATAATTATACTAACAGCAGAGACAGGTATGACCTTGTGTCTTCAATAAGGTTGTGGCAATCGTTGTTGTTAGATGGTGGCAGGGGTGATATCATTGCTCTGCCCCTTTCTGTGCACATATAGATGATTACACGCGGAAAAGTCTCCTCCACCTTGTCCTTCAACAACAACACTCTCTGATTCCTTCTTAATTAGCTTTTGAACATGCCGGCGACACTTTGACGTTCCCCGCACCGGTGTCAATCAGGCAGAAATGGCTGTTTGGCGTCACCCGAGACCTACTGCTCATAGGTGACACTGCTGAGACGGATACTGCCCAGCGGCTCGGCCACTGAAACGCTGCACTCACAAGGTTCGAGGTGTTTAAACTATCTTGAACCCGAACATACCGACTCGTCCCTCGGAATGCAGCTGGGCTCGTGAACTGCAGGAGCTGAAAGGCGAGCGTCTGAAGCTCGAGGGGCATATTTGCTCCCTGAAGCTCGCTGTTCGCGGGTCGGATCTCACCTAATTATGCTAGCGGGCTAAACGATCTTCATTGTCTATGGCTCGGTAGGATGAAGGATTCCATTGACGACAAAGCTTTTACAGCCCTAAAGACTTGAGGGGCAACAGCGGGTCACACACGCACACAAGCAGAGGTGAGGCTTCCAACCCCTCAGCAATCTTGAAATCTTGAAACATATGCAAGTCTGTGCAGGTCTGCAAGTTGCAGAGGAAATGAAAGGTTTTAGAGTTACCTGACGGGTGTCGCTGCTCGGAAATTCGAGGAGCTGTGGCCGTGATTCGCCGACAGCGCAACATGTAAACAATAGACGGAATGGATGTGTCAGTTCAATACCCAGTTATTCACAGCGGTTGTCAGCGGATGCAGACGTGTGTTCGAAAGAGGAAAGCAGAAGTGAATGTCACAGCTGGCTACTGCCACACGCAGCAACCCTGCGCCTAAGCAAAACCATCCACGTGACCTTTTATCACCAAAACTGCTGCTAGATGATGTTCAGCCGGACCGGCGTCGCTCAATGGTTCCACCATTTAAACGCCACGGCCTGTGAACAACAGCTGGGCGCAAGCCTCGAGTGCCAGAAGCGGGATCAGCAGCTTGACTTGCTTGAACTAACTTAAGGTCGCACCAGCAATCGTCCAAGAAGTTGCCACTGAGGTCGTGAACTTCTGCTGCAAGAGGACGAGACCACGGTCCGGGTGTTTCGGCTCAGACAAGCGGCTAGAACAAACAATGAACTTCTACCGTTTGTCCCTCCCATACCACAGGCTCTCGTACTTGTAGTATTAGGACTCAAGTAGTAGTACTGCTACTGACACTGTTAACTGTTATTTGAGATCAGACGACTCCTAAGCACTACAGTATCTTGTTCCAAAACCGTGCCCCTTCACATTCATCACGATCAGCCGATCCGCCGACTCCGCTTGTGGGGGCGAGCGCCGGGGAAGCCGCTTGCATGGCAGGTCATCCCTCACCCGCCCCCCAACCCCTCGTTTACACCCTTCCCCACGTTCCTGCCCCTGAATTCACTCCTGAAGGTTTTCGTCTTGGGTTAAAGTTTCCTGCTGGGTTCATTGTCGTCTTCGGTCACGGGTTCCTGCTGAATTCACTCCTTAGGGTTTTCGTCTTAGGGGAAAGGTTCTTTCTGGGTTCTCTCCTTAGGGTTTTCGTGGTTCTCGTCTTGGGTATTCAGTCCTTATGGTTTTCGTCTTGGGTTAAAGGTTCCTGCTGGATTTACTCCTCAGGGTTTTCGCCTCCGGTAAAGGGTTTCTGCTGAATCCACTCCTTAGGGTTTTCGTCTTCGGGAAAAGTTCTTGCTGGAAGCCTTAGGCTTAGGATCAGGGTTTTCGCCTTGGGTTGAAGCTTTCCTGCTGGATTCACTCTTTAAGGTTCTCGTCTTCAGTCAGGGGTTCCTGCTGAATTTATTCCTTAGGGTTGTCGTCTTGGGTTAAAGGCTCCTGCTGGATTCACTCATCAGGGTTTTCGTCTTCGCTGAATCCACTCCTTAGGGTTTACGTCTTCAGGAAAAATTCTTGCTGGAAGCCTTAGGCTTAGGGTTTTCGCCTCCGGGATTCACTCCTCAGGGTTTTCGTCTTGGGTATTCACTCCTTCCGGACCTCGCCTTGGGTTGAAGCTGGATTCAATCCTCAAGGTTTTCGTCTTCAGTCAAGGGTTCCTGCTGAAGTTACTCCTTGGTTAAAGGTTCCTGCTGGATTCACTCCTCAGGGTTCTCGTCTTCGGTCAACACCTCGGGTTTAGGATTTAGGGTTTGCGGTTAATGGACGATGAATGCGAGACTTGCACCAGTTGGCTGGAGAGCCGAAAACTTGGAGTTTCCTGCGCACTTGCAGTCTCAATTCTACCATTTGTGATTCTCGAACTACATGGCGTTTATATTCCAGACGCCGCTTGCCGTGGTCGGCGGCAGCGGCGTCAGCCCTTAAATCGGGCAGCGCCACGTCCCCGAGCGCATGCCTCCTGTAAGTTCGAGGCTTCGGCGAGGTGTAGCTTGCAATAGCTTGCCAAGCTTTGCGTTAGCAAAGGGCGCGACCGGCAGTGCCGCCGACCCTGCTTCATCGGACCCTCGTTTTTCCCCCGGGCTGTGCGGGACTCCGCCAGGAGTCGTTTCGGAACACGCACGCGTTTCGCAGCCATTCCCCAGGTTATGGCGGGTTTCGGAGCCCCCGTGGACGAGGCCAGCCGCAGAGCATATGAGCACTCGGGGGGCCCGCAACCGGTCCTGCAGCGCGAGGCAATGTTTTGCCAATTTTTGAGTGGGTTGCGGAAGCCCGCAATGGGCGTGCATCATCAGCATCAGCGGGGTTCGGCGCAGGATGGGTGCGTGGCCTTGCTCCAGGCTTCTACCTGAGCTGCCCACCCGTAGGCGCAGCTCTTAGAATATCCGTTTCAAAACTAGGTCATGTTGCGAGCTGCCAACCGATACTCCAGGCACCCACAGCGAGATCCAGGCAGCTTTGCTGCTTGGAGCTCGCTATCTGTGGTACAGAACGAACATCATGCTGCTCAGGCCGCAGAAGCTCCATGGGTACGGTACATGCCAATTACTAAAATTCAAGCTCGGATTTGCACTCAAGTACACAGCTGGCAAGAGAATGGACACAACAAGTTGCTGCTACTTCACTACTTTTCACACCTGCAACGCCAGTACTCCTTGCAAGCTGCGCGAATCGTTCTTTCTTGTTTGGGACCGTTACGTCAAGACAGATGAAGCATGATGAAGCTTCCAAACCTCAGAGCAGTGTGGACAGATTCAAACACAGGGACGCGAAATGGCGCATGCCTGGGAAAAACAGCTTGCTGCATAGTGCACGATTGATCGCACTATTGGGGATGTGTCTAGCCACTGTCTTCTGCACAGCCGTCTGATCAGAACGGGAAGTGTCCTTGCTATTCGAGAAGTGCACATGGCACTAGTGCCGCTGCTTGATCCAGCGAATGGGTAGTTTTCTCGTCGGGGACAATCCGTGCGCTCTTCTTGCTCCACATCCACGAGACAGGTGCTGCAGGCACCCTCCAGCGAAAGGAGGTTGAAAGAAGATGTGCTGCTGACTTCGGAGGACTGGGGTTGACGTTTTCGGCTACATCCACAGTTTCTGCTTTGTTGTCGTCGTCCGCCTTTTTGTCCCAGTTGACGTCGTCTGTCGCCTGTCTTCCAGACCCAAACATGAGATCCGAAGGTATGTCTTCCAAAGAGTTGGAGTTGATGGAGCTGCCCCTTGGCGATGGATCTGAGATCCCGCGATCTGGCCTTGAGTCCTCGTCGGGCGGGTCGCTCTCCGCGGCCGGGGCTGTTCTGGCTTTCTGCCTTTGCTGCGCGATCGGCCGCACTGTCGACTCCTCGTCCGACAAGTTTCCATTGCCAGATTGCTCGTAGTCACCCTTGCTGTCCAATATTACCGGCATTGGCTTCACTCCACGTTTGGCGGAAGTTCGCCGCTTCTGTTTATTTACCAGCTGCGTCTGGATAAAGTTTACCTGTCAGAGGAAGAATGTCTAAGTCAGTGCTCTCCAGTGTCAGGGTGCAGGGTTCATGGCCGATGATTCCTCGGAATACTGTCGCTACTTCCGTTCATGAAACGGGAACCAACACAAGCTAGATCTCAACTTGGAGATAGGTTCGATGTCGGCTTCCTTGTTGTGGGTACTCTCGTTCCTGACATGGCCCCACTTGTGGTGACCTAGTGCAGTCGGGAAGGCGTGAGCTGCAGCTCGCGAGACGTCTCAAATGTCACGTGTTTTCCTGCTTTCCGGCTCCAAGAGTGCCTGAGGCTGCCTGAGGGCTCCAGGACCTCGGGGTTTTTTGACTTTTACTTTAACCTGCAGACAAGCCTTGTCCATGTAGCTCTTGAGCTGCTGGTGAGCCTCCTGCTGGGAGGGCCTGGACTCCGCATACATGCTGCACATTTGGAGGATCGAGGTCACATGAGCGATGGCCGTGAGCTGGTGAGGCAGGACGTCCAAACTCAGTGCGAAAGCTGCGGACATCCCGCCGGACTGGACGTAGATCGTCAAGTCCATTGCTTCACAAGCTCCGTTCCATATACATACACAGGTTAAAGAGTTTTACAATTATCATCCCTCCTTTGAACCAGTGCAAGGCACGTGCATGCGCAAACCTGCTAGGGTGCAGCTGAAGCGAGCTCAGCATGAGGCCAGGAGCCACGAGGGAGCACGAATCCGAATCGGCCAACCCGAGTCCAGTCTTTGCAATTGCTGACCTCTCCCACCACTCCCCCCATGGAAATTTCCCCTGAAATCCAAGATCCGTCCCACGCCGCAGCCTGAAAGCTCAGGGAACTGACTGTAGTCAGTGGCCTTCGGAGCCACTGCGGCCTCTGTCCGAGACAGCAAGAGGCCACAGGCCGGAAGCTTTGACTCTAGGACCCTGGCTGGGGAGCTTCAGGCCAATTGAAAGACGGCAGGCCACAAATCTGCACTGCCACGGAGCTATCGGCAGCTCCGGGTTCAGTTTTTTCAATCAATTTCAAGTACAAGTCAAGAGCAACTACCACTGCTACCATGCGCACCCCGAACAACTAGGGCAGCGGCGGAAGAACCATTCATCAAGCTGGAAAGCACCAAGGTGTTGAATTTTACAATGAACTCGCTTTTCAAAAAGAATGCGGTTGGCGCCCACTACTACTCCTGCTGCTGCTGCTGCTACTACTACTACTACGACGACGACGACGACGATGTCTGCTCTCGCCTGTGGATGCATGACTGTTTTGAGACTTAAGGGAGGAATCCCTTGGCCTGAAAAGCTCAGCTTCGGGCAAAGGCTGGCCTCGGAACCTGAACCAGTGAAACGACCAGGCACCACAGAACCAAACCGGACTTTGGGTCAAACTGGAGGTGATTTGAATTGTAATAGATGCGTAAGGATGAGGTTGTGTCCGGGGAATCGACAGACGTGCGATGGATGCAGAAGTATCATTCCTTAAGATTTGATACCTTGGCGCAGACAATCAACCCCGACTGATCTTTAATGTGGAGCTGTAAATGCACTGCATAGAACAAGTTGGCACGTAGCGACGGCAGGCCACCCTGTCAATTTGCGATTGACATAGGTGAGCACCAAGGCTTTTGGATTACAAAGTTGTTCTCTGAAGCTCTTAAAAGCTGTGCTTCCGGGCGATTCCCGGACGACCATCCCATTCTGAGGTTGATGCGTAGTGTAAGAGCCCACTGAACTCACAGACAGATCAGGAACGAACCGCTCTTGCTAGGTATGTCGGCTGTTGGATAAGCCGATATGCCTTGCCCTGCTGCCTCTTAGTCTTGTGGTTACAGCTCCAATCTACAATGTGTATTGAAATTTACGGACCGGAAACATCGCCCATGCCTGGCAAAACCAGGCATGCAGTCAATCTGTCCACCAAACCGGGCTCAGGACGATTTTTCTGCGCAGCAGGCTATCTATGTCGGAGACGACGAAAGCGCAACGCGCAAGTGAAGTTTTCCACGCTCCTGCACAGGACGACAGGGCTCGGGGCCAAATTCAGATGCTTCAGAGGACTGTGGCTCGTTGGTACTGGCCCATCCCAGGTTTTATTGGAAGAATTTGATTCAGGATTCTAGAGGGCTGTCTTCCCACTTCCCCGTGACGAAACTCCACAGGCCCTGAAGTAATCAGCCTTGGGGTCTGGAAAGCTGCACAAGCAAAGGCCATCGCACCTTGCGAGGTGGCGTCACAGCGCTGCCCCTGCCGCAGGGGTGTAGATGCTGCGGCTGAAGTATCTGACCGACAGGAGCAGCACGCACCTCAGCGGGACCATTCCGACTTGGTTTGCAGTCAGAATCTGCAAATCTGCTTGTCGGTGCGCCTACAATCACATGCAGGCGAATGACCGAGGAACGTGCTCTGCAGGTGTACGGGGTTGGCAGGGAAGCAGATGATCGATGGCCATGTAAGGCAGTGACAGTGAGAGCGAGCGGGAGGCTAAGAGACGAGAGACAACTAACGGCTACATAGTGGCTACAAAAGGAGCGCAAGATGACTACTGTGTCCATGCTCGTCTTCAAATGCCACATCCGATGCTACATCGTGTACGGTGCATGGGGAAGAAAAGATGTGGAGACAGAGTCGAAGAGATCTAGTCTAGTCCCATTCCAAACACTTGTCAAATTACGCTGCTCCTTCTGAATCCACGAGCGTGCTTGCAACACTACTCAGCCCTGCACTCCAAGCTCACTTCAGCGCGCATGTTCTCGTTGCTTGGCTGACTTCCAAACCGCAACTCAAACATGGTCATCACAATCCACCCGTGTCTGTCCGTTTCGCAGGCTTAGTACCCAACACTGAAATCCAGAAGTTAGACTGGCCTCCGAGCAGGTCAGGCAGAACTTTAATCCAAGTTGCACAATGGGGACGGTCAGTATGTACAGCCTCAGATTAGCACAAACGGGAACCTTGTACAAACTTCGGGAAGAGCAGGTTCTCGCTCTCCCCAAGAATGACCTACTGAAACGATTCTGGGGAGGCTTGTTTGAACAACCTTTTGCATTAAGGAGCGGATGAGATCCAAACCGAAATCAGGCTGTTCGTCGACATGTCCGACAGACTTTCAATCAATGCCCCCAAGTGTTCACCCAAGTTGCAGCTGCACAAAGAGCTGCAGAACCACCTCGACAGGTTCCGCAACTCTTTTTTTCAAGCCTTGGAGTTTCAGCGCATTGCTCGTACTGCGCTGCAGCACCGGACCTCCGCGTCGGTGGCATCGGTCGCCGACAGAGGGCCAAAGCTCTGGTACATTAACAAGCCGATGGTCACAACGTATCCTCGGAAAACTGGAACGAGAAGTGGTGTGCAAAATCATGACTCCTGCTTGGGGGAGTCATGCAAGCATATCCAGCAGATCTTGAGAAATGCGAGAACTTGTCTGTCTGGTAGGCACGCGGAACCAAGGGAGCATAAAGGCGCAGAGTCAGGTCTGGCGAGGCTCCCGCTCCATCGGATGCAAAGATGAGAAAGGAACATGTACCTCTCAGGGGCCCAGGGCCACAGTTCTTCGAGACTACATCAGAACGCATTGCTCACGCAAGGAGGATGCTTCTTTTAACCGTTCTTCGGTATTCGCTGACGCTGACACCTGAATTACGATGTGCTCCGCGTGGCCCACCTTCAGCACGAGTAACTGCGAAGATGCGCTCGTTGATAGGCGCGTTCAGCATGGAGAAGGATGTGTAGAAGGCCGCCGAGTACAGCCTTCGGCACGCACAAATGCTGCAACAAAAGTTGTTGCAGCCTGGTGTGCAGAGAATTGCTTGAACACATGGTTCTGTGACAACAGCCCAGGTGCCCGAGGCCCCGGGCACCAAAGTCACCAAATAAGGCGTCGAAGCTAATTCTCAACATACAACCGATCAAAAAAAAAGGACATACGCGGGTCCACTCTCCTCGCGAACATAGCTCTGGCAACAACAGACTCTGCCCGAACAAAGCCTGGCACCAGTATGTCTGTTGCAATACCATAACAGCAAGTCTTGCCTCTCCGTTTTGGTGTCGGCATACCGTCTCGAAATAGTTTGACAAGAACGTACAGGACCGAAAAAGCAATCTAAAGACTCACGTGTCACCGTCGCATTACACCGTGCCACTGCCGACAAGTTGCAGCATCCAGCTGATCCCGTCCTGGATGCAACAATCGGCATGTTGATATGTCGTGATTCAAGCTGATGCTGAACCCTGTGTAATGGCCACCCCCCAACCAAGATCGGCGATTCAGAAGGGTGTGCAGCAGTAGTTCAGTAGTAGTACGATAGTAGTACGATAGTAGTACGATAGCAGCACAGTAGTAGTACAGAGATAGTCCAGCAGCGGTGCAGCAGTACAGTAGTACTACAATAGTAGCACAATAGTAGTACAGTAGTACGGTCATAGTACAGGAATATGATTGCAGTCGTGAGCGGTCGTAGAAAAGGGTGCAAATAGTAGTACAGTGGTAGTACGGTCGTCGTAAAGTATAGCAGTAGCAGCGCAGTAGTGGTACAGTAGGAGGGTTTACGGGTACCTAGAGGCGTTTAGAAGGGGGGCCCGCAAACCCTTGATACTGAAGACTTTTTTATTTCATCCTACACGCACCCCTACAATGGACCAGCCGGAGGCCTGCTAGATCAAACTTTCCCCCGGCCTCTTGTTGTCCTGTACTCTACAGTGAACGTCCTGTGTAAGAACCCACTGTTGAAAATCCTCAGCCCATACCTACGGCGGGATTCACAAAATTCAGGGATCAGGTCCTTGTTTTTTGTTGGGTGGTTTTGGGTGTTTTTGGACACGATCCGGCTGCACTTTGCGCATAGGGAACCAAAGTGCAGTCCGTGGGGTGTTTTTGGGTACGAAACGAACGATCCGGCTGCACTTTGCGCATGAAAGGAACCCTTCAAAGTGCTCATTAAAGGGGGTCACCTAATTCAGCAAGGTGCAACAATAGATCTCTTGTCCTCAGGACGTCGGGTTGTCTCATTCGATTAACCGCAATTCCATTTTTCGGAGCGGCCAACCAATTCTCCCGAAGGAGCCATGTCAGGGCAACCACAAGCAGCAGTCCTGTTCCGGTGCAAGGAACGGTGGTCCGTGCAGAGATTGACTGTGCATTTCCACATGACAGCTTTGCCCGATCACTGGTAAGCTGCCTAAATTTCATGGAGCCAGGACTGCCTGGCCTACGGCAAAGCAAACAAGGTCTGCTTCAGGGAGTGTCCTGATGCACAAAGGACCAGCATCAAGCGCAGGGCTTTCTGGCTGTTCTTTACCCAAGACATCATCACCTGAAGATCGAGGCGTCGTCTGAGAGTTTCTACAGACAGCCGCTGAAGATCAAGAGGATGCACCAGACGAGCATGTGAGCGTCACTCGCCATCCCTCTCTTCCTGCTAAGTCGCTCCCCTCGCTCGCATCAGTGTCGGTGTTGGGCTGGAGCAAGACGCAAAGGGGGTGCGCCATGGTGGAAGGCTCCAGGGGGTTGTCGCTTGCCAACTGCTTCGCAACTTGGCGAGTGCCCCTTTTTGCTTGAATGTTGGAGCTCAGAGGGCAACAAAATTCCGATGATCCGACGGTAAGGCATAGCGGGGATGCGCATGCAAACCTACCTGACGAAACTGGGAAACCATGACTCCATCCGCAGCCCCGGCACTCGGTTCCGAGGCCCGGACTAAAGCCACAAAGGATGTTGCAGCTCCAGGCAAATCGGCCATTGCGAGAACCTGCATCATGATAAATGTCCTTGCCCTGACCAAAGTACCATGTGGCATGATAGCAGACCAAGAAACAACAGTAGGCCGACAAGTAACAACTGGCAGTGACACAAACTAATGACTGAAATTATGCTAGTGCTACTGATACTAAGGCTGATATTTACCTGCCCAAAAGTCTAGTTCCAAACGAAGTAGTCCGCGGCTATGAATGCTTACGGCATTGTACCCGTAAATGCAGGAAACATATATAGTAACAAGTATGTTGGCTGAAGACTGACGCACAGGCTGCCGCCGCTTGGCGCTTCAGTTGGGCATCTCTGCAATCCGAAGCCGAGAATTTCAACCCGCCCTCCCAAACATGGCCTTGGGGGTGGGCGGCTCTCCGAGAGCAGCAGTGAAGACCTGCAGATTGATCCCAACATCGCTCCCCAATTGAAGAAGCAAACCGTGCGCTTCGACGTGCATACTTGTGCATGAAGTGTTCTCAGTTCTCCTCCCGCTCTCGCCTGTTTCGCATAGAAGTCGCGAAAAGATCGCAAGCCCACCTTGCCATGCAACGAATGTGTCGGGCCAGATCTGCCAAAGCTGGCAATTGGACAATGAAACACACGAGAGAGATAAGGGGCACCAGGCCAGCCCAGGCAGAGATGGACGCGATCACTCCGAAGGCGTGGCTGCTGACAAAGTCCCACTGCTGCCTGCGCTAAGCCGGCCGTGAGCCAAGCAGCTGAAAGAGACTGCGTGAGAACGCAGTCTCAAAAATGGCTCCACCCGAATCCTTGCTTAGCTTCTAGGCTTAGCTCCCGTCCGTGCCTCGAACTCATGGCCGCGCGTGCGGACCGCGCTGCAACGTCGGCACCACTGGGCCGGGGCGACCGGTCCTGCAGACAGAAACTGAAACAGGCTTCTGACATTCCGGTAAACGCGGATCCCGTTTGCATCTCTTCTCTGAGTCTGTGCCACCAAGGATCCGTGATCACAATCGAAATACAGGCCAGGATGCAGCAGCCTTGAGTGAAGCCCCAGATCAGGGATTTGCAGACTCACAGAGGCTATTTCAATTCACCCTGAGTGGCTCAGTCCTCGCTGGCTAGGCCTGACTCCTCCCCAACGACCCGCCACTCAGAGCCACGGGACATCCTCCCAATAGCAGGGGCATCAGCCTTCCATGGTAGCCATGCGCAACAACATCACAAAGCAGAAATTACATCCCAAGCTGAATTTCCAACCGAAGGCCTCGGGGCAACGCCCCAGTCCAGCAGCGCCTGCGGAATGCGAGGTTCATTTGCAATGTGGCTTTCGGCTTTCAGAGTGCAGGGGGAGCCAGCACGGTGGCTTGTACCGAGAAGGCCATGAAGGCCCGCAGTGAGATGTTCACGAACCGGTGGATTCTCGAATCCCACAGACAGCCGAGACGCCCGAGATACGACCCGCGGAAGAGGTGCCTTTCAATCAAAGCGAACCAAATACCAAAATCAACAGTTAGCTAGGCAGATCTAGGCTGTGTCTTCCCTGCCACCTGCTGAATCTCCCGCCGTTTGAAACCTTTGCAATTCTCATAGCTGCGCACCGTGGCAGCAGCGCGGCTGAGTGTGCCGGCCACAGTAAGGCTGGCGGAGATTGCAGCTAGCATGATCTCGGTGCTCTGTCCTGGGACTGGGTTGCTCGAGCAATTTTTGGGTTTCGGTGCCAAAAACGGTGTCGCAGCGAATTCCGAGACCCACTTTTCTCAAAGAGTGAGTAACTCTGCTGGAACTGCGCAAGGCCTGCATACCTGCAGATTACCTCCAAATGTACTGCACTTGTCTGTGGATCAGCAGTCGTGCCAGGATGTCTCACCTGCGTCTGGATGTGCTATCGTGTTTGCGAAAGATGGTACACGGCGGAAGTCCCCATGAGCCGAACCACCGAGTAGCAGCTGAGGCGCTTCCTTCAAGGTATGTGACGATTCCACCGTAGAGGAAGCTGGAGATGAAGGAGGAGGTGAAGACACCAAGCACTTGCCTCGTGATGCAAGCTTCCGGCACGAAACCTGTTTGAGCGTCTTGCGTGAAACGCTCAGCTACGCCAAGAAAGGTCCATGTCGCGGGGACTCTCCCGGACGGCTTTTTTGAAGAAGGAATACCCAAGCAAAGCTGAATTTGCAGCGCAGGCTTCATCTTCTCCCAGCCCTCCAGGAGCAGAATTGGCAGCGTTACCAGGAGCATTGAAGAGACCAGGATCCCCACCCTGAGTGCTGAAGCATATCGATGCTCACATCTCGTGCCATGGCAATGAGACGCATCTGGCACAGTTGTGGCACACACGAATCTGGCCTACGGAACCAAGGAGCAGAAGAGCTAAACGATGTCGGAAGAAGAAGCCGCTCCTGAAAGAATCTTAGCGTTGTTTTGCACATTTTGAGATGCCGTTAACCTTGAACCGATATGGGCCAATCTTCCCAGCGCTTTGGCACGTGGGTTTAAAATTTAGGATTTGTGGTGCTGCGGGCATTTTAGGGGGGGTTTCAGGGTGGCTGAGATTCAGCTGCGTCGTACTTAAGAGATGTCACCGGGTGGCGTGGCCAGCCGCATAGCTGGAATCTTGGCAGCACCGAAGCCCAGGATGAAGGACATTGAAATGCCTTGGCAAGCGATTCAGGGTGATCCACTGCGGTTCAGGGCAGCCCCTCATATGTGGGCGTCACAGGCACTGCCTTCTGAGCGGTTTAGTTCTGAGCGGTTTCCTCGTAAGGCATCGCCCATGGAGTCAAGATGTTTGCATAGTAAACTGACATCCAGTGACCTGGCCAAAAAACATTCTCGTGCCAAAACTCATGTCTATCTCTAACTGCACATGCCTGGCTGAGTGCTGCGCATCTCACTATGTCACTATGATCGAGGCACAGGGCCGCGTTGTTTCCAAAGTGCTTGCAGGGGAGATAGATGTACATGTCTGCGAACGCACGCAAGGAGGATGTACATGAACATGCGGATGACTATGATGTGTGATGCTGGCAAACTCACTTCGAACAATCAATACATTACCACATTCTTCCTGCTACGCAGACCCCGGCATAGGAGCTAGATGCCTCGATGCATTCGAGCCGTGCGACATTCCTGCAGGGACAGTGTTTTGCCAAAGGCCGTCACAGTCGGGATGTTCAAGATTTCCTTGGGAAGCCTCGGAAGACAGGGCCGTGTCGCTGCAATGCTGCAACCAGCCACAAGTAGCCTAAGACCTCAGGTTGAGAGACTTTCCAGCGGCACCTCTGGCCTGCAAAGGGGAGTCCGGGTAATTCCTCGGAGTCCAAGTGCTCCAAGAGGCATGAAAATCGGATATCTCCAGAAGTATGAGAATGCATAGCACAAGGAAGCCTCAGGGATTGAATGTTGCCCGGACTCCCTGCAGATGGATGGTGCAACAAGGTCGTGCAGATTTCATGGCGAGCTCTCTGCTGCTACCGCAAATCATCGACAAGGGTTTCAGACTGATACGAAAGCGATTCCAACCATCAACACAAAGGGTGCCAACACAGGTTTTCCTGATGCCAGCATGAATGCCGCTCTCTATCAAGTCAAGCGGCGGTCACTGCTATCCACGCAGTCGTTCCTGACAAATCTACTGCTACCACATGGCCAAGCAATAGCAAGCGAACACTGGCACAAGCGGCTGAGGGTTTGGGCCTGTGCAACCTTCGCATATTATGGGTGCCACAAGGGTGGCCGATGGATGTGTGGTTGGAATGGTAGTGAATCGGTTCAAGCACCGGACAAATGTCGCCTGGCGCATGGCTGGTTGGAACGACCGGCACGGAGGACCGCGATGAGGAGCCTCGGCTGCTTGCCGGCATGCCTGTTTCTGCTCGGGGGCTTCCCTGCCAGGGAATAGTCTGGAAGCAGAGCAAGGGCTTCATGCGGTGCTCCTACGCGTATAGGCATCGCTTGGCTTGCTGCGACGTTTAAATGCAGCCTCGGAGCGCCGCTTCGAGCTTCGATCTTGGCTGCGTTTCTACGAGGACCCCCAGGAAGGCCCCATGAAGAACTCGGCTTAACAAAAGTGATTTAGTGCCTGGCGGAGTACCCTTGGCCCCTAGGCCATGAGCCCAAAACCCTGTAAGGAATTGCACAGCTCATGCAATCCTGCAGGTGCTGCGCTGGACAAAGAGGAAAGACCAGGCTCTCTTGGAAACCCAGCGGCTACCAGGACCCAAGAGTTGGGTTGGCTCATCCAAATGAGGGCTCATCTCGATCCTCGGACATGAAATCTCTCTGCTTGATGAGACAGTGCCACTGGGCAACCACTGGCTCTGATTCTGCGCTGTGTGACGGCAGTCTGTTGTCCCTCTGCACTGGCTTTGTGCCGTCTCTTGATTGGCTGTGATTGGCCTCTGCTGGCAGTCGACCCTGCGAGGAAATGTCTCGACTTCTGCGGGGCACGGTCACTGTCATGGCCACTCATGAATAGGTGCGCTGTAGTGCCTTGCGACCAAGTCTCTCGCGCCCAGCCGATGTCACCGAGAAAGATTCCACAGGCATGAGCAAGGCATGTCGAATTAGTCAAAGGTTGATGGATGATCTTGCAAGGCATGGTCATGGTCCAATTCGATGCCCTTGGTTGCTTTCTGAGTTTCCCTGTTCCGGCCAAGCGATCGCATGTTGGCGACAGTCTTTCTCCCCTGTCCAGTCCCTGGACTTGACACACTGAACTTGCAGTTCGAGTCAGTTGACGCTAGCAGCCGCTAGCAGTACTACTTTGAAGAGCTGCCTGCAACTAGGCCCTAGCACCTTAGAGAAAGAATTTGCTTGTGGTTACAACCTTGTCTCCGTTTGCTTTGCTGATTCTTCTCTTGTATCCTGCGCCCAAGCAGCGCTCTGAGCAAGCTTGAGACATGCAAGCGGCTGCGTGAGAACTCGGCACTTTAAAATTGAAGGTAACTACATGGTTCAGGGTTGGGGGCAGTTGGAGCTAATTCGCGCCAACCGTGGGCATTGTTTACGCTGCATTACGGCAGCGATGCAAGCCGAAAAGAAGTCCGCAGCCCGAGCAAGCCTCTGACCCTCTGAAATCCCTAGGCCCTAGGCCCACCTCGAGGCTCTGCAAGTGTGCCTTTGCTGTGGCCTCCATGGCCTGGGCCATGCTCTAAGAATGGCATTCCAGGGTCCTACGGAGTCCTACGCCAGGCCAGCCTCGCCTTCGTTCCGGCGCAAGGGCGTTTCATGCATCTGGGTAAGGGGGATTTGCTTTCGGCTTCTTGGAGTACTATTGCCGAAGGCTGCAGCGCGCAGTCCGACGTGAAGCGTCTTACTGGCCGAGCGCTCGATTGTCGAAAGATTCGGCTGGTTGAAAACTGTTTGCCCGCAAGCTGCAACTTCAAGTTTACCCTCGAAGCACGTCAGCGCTGAGTCCTGAAGACCTCCGATGACACTCCAGGCCAACTGCGATGGAGCATGCTGGCACCAAAATCACCTGACCCTCCATACCCTCCCACCCCCGGAGGCTGAGTCGTCCGACGTACACATCTCTACGGCTGCGGTATCCGCCGCCGATGGCAACGGCCGTACTGCTTTGGTACGTGCCGTCGTTCCTGGCAGCTTTGTTGAAAATGCTGTCGCACCACTCTCGATGTTGTCTCCAATGGAGACAACATCGAGAGTGGTGCGGTCCAACGGAACGGGAAGCAAAACTTGGGTCATTCTAAATCTCGGGCCTGCGCAGAATCGAAGGCTGCGACGCCTGATTCAGACTGCGGAGCTAACTCTCGTCGTGTAGTACGAGGTGTCTTCACTTACGAGCTACCAGCTGCCATGTTCCGGCCCCTCGTTCTCGACTACTCTTTCGTCAAGGTGCCGAGTAAACTTGACACTTAGACTTAGCTTTACCTGAGTAGATAGTCGTCCAGCTGGAACCGATCACTTCGCGACTGTCGGGACTCGTGGACTTTCATCACAGAAGGGCGCAAGCTGGAATCAGCAGCCGGAACCACTGGTCAGGGCTGTGCCAACACAGCGTCCGCGATGTTTCGCACACATGAAACCACAAGTGCAAATGCTGAATCAACTACCAGTACATGATGATAAACAGGATCGAACTGCTATCTGCTGTTCCCTTCGGCACCCCGCCTGGTTGCGGAAACTCGCCTGCTGCCACATAAGCCTGGCATTGGCACTTCTTGCGTGCGGAGCTCTTGCGAACCACTCTTGCTTGGAAGTGCTGCTGATGTGGCTTGGTCCTTCACGGCAGACCGTCTGCGCTGTGTCCAGCAAGAGCAACAAACCCTCAGGAAAGACTGAACAGATTCGCTCTGAATGTCCTCGTGGCGAATCAGGCAGGGCTCACGACTCTGCCCCTCAGCGTGCGTTTCGTTAGCATTGCCAGGAAGTAACCTTGAAAGCCTTTGAAGGTTGTGGCTCCGTCTGCGCGTTCGTCACTGCTGAGTATTCCAGACTCCTGAAACACATTTTATATGGTAACTGGAATAAGCCTTAAGCCTTAATGTATGATATGTGCGAATATGAAAAACCCAACGATTCACCCGTTCCAGGTCCACTGCCAGAGGAAGGTCGCGACGGCCGGCGGCCTGCAGCACGCGACTGGTACGAGCACCGACCATAAACGACATGACTATGCTGAGCTGATGCTGAGGAAGGCGAAGATCGTAGTGATGATGATCACAATGCTGCACGCGACGCAACGCTTTACACAGTGACTCAATGCCTTCATGCCTTGCTAGCATTCCATGGTTAATCAGATCCGACCCGCAAACTCAAGCTAATTCGGGGAACGTCGGCCTGGATCTTTGCTCTGCTCCTCCGCGTGAAAAGTCGAAACTGGACTGACTGAAAGAGCAAGGGCCTCGTGAAAGCTCCCTGCTGCACTTCCTAGAGGTCCTCGGCCACCCGAACTTAGGTTCTCGTGAGCTGTCCTCCATGGCCTGAAGCGCCTTCTGCTCTGCATCCAATTCCTCCGGCGCTTCTCACACACTTCACTGAGCCCGAGTGGTCACAAGGGCCAGTTGAGGTTTCACAAGGCAGACTTATCAGAGTTTGTGGGCAAAGCATAGATGTTGATCTACTGCCCAAATATGTCATGCAATTTAGGCCTTTGCTTGCCCTGAAAACAACTTAAGCAAAAACAAGACCTGTGGACGGCCAGCCCCTGCCCAGCCCCAGCCAGGCACCCAAGCTATAGTATCATGCGAATCCAGCCAGGGTTTGACTAACTGGTACAAGTTTGGCCAACACCCCCTGCTCTAGTCTGCAATGCAACGAAAGCAGGCTCTATAAGATCCAAACTCGCAAGTAATGCATGGAGGCTTCGTAGTTCCAGGCGGTGGCAACTCGCATAGCCGTGGCTACTAAATTAAATGAGACAAGCAGATACAAGCAGGATCATACTTGTTCGTTCGCGTTCGACATGGCAATGTATCATGTAAAGGGATGACAAGATAAAGAACTCACACAACAAGCACTGCCGTATGTTTTCCCAAGTCAGGCTGTGATGGACGGCCTTGGCACGGCGCAATGCATCGAAGACGGAGACGAAGCCAGCGGCCGGGGAGGGACGCTGGGGCCGGGCCTCAGACTTTCAGCAAACTTACAGGATGTTCCAGAAGTGCTGCAAGCGGTGCTCGGCTGTTGTGGCCGGATGCTTGAAGCAATTCACACGGCAAGATTTTGTGTTCGGTGTAGTTAACCGTTCTGTTCGGCACTGGCTACAGCCAATAGCAAGATCGGCCTGGTGCACATGCGTCAATATCCGCCAATAAAAAGGAAACACATCTTTGTGTCTGCTCTTCCTCACCCGCTGCCTCTCCGGCCTGCGGAACCACAATCGACCTAACCTAACCATCATTGGGGGTATCAAAGGGCCATGGCACGAGACGCGAGATTGAGCTGCAAAAGCTGCACATCGCAACTCTCGGCCACAAGCATCCTCGGGTGTCGCAGCCGTGCATGCCTCGCTGCAGATCATCTCTCGGAGGTACCCCGAAAATAATCATAGAACCCTTATAGTAACCCTGACACAAAAGCAACACCTTCAGCACGTCGTAACCGACAGTCTGTTGGCAAAGCTTCTTGGCTGTGAGGTGCTGTGAGGCATGAGCTTGTTGAGACATGCCAGTCAAATAGTCGTGCGACCGCAATGTTCCTAATCGCAGTCATCTTGCTGAGGGAGCACATGAAACCTTGCTTTTACATCTGGTTCCAAACAACCGCAAGGTCGCTTCCCAACTCGATAAGTGCACCACACAACGGTCACGGTCATGCTTCAGAACTGAATGCCCCCGAAGCACCTCGTAGACTTGCTTCCAATCGCCATCTGCACAAAGGGTCTGGCGATGTCCCACGATGAAGAGCTGTAGCCTTGGACGAACCGTTACTAGTTGCAAGTATCTGCTTTGACGATGTGCTGGCCCTTTGCTGGTGCTTCCGCTTCAGCCCAACCCTCGAGCTCTATACTCTGTACAGCAAGGGTGCTTCTGGAATCACGATTATGGGCTCGACGGACACTACAGTATCCGCAGATGAATTAGGCTCGGCTCGGGATTCGACTGTTCAAATCTTCGTGAGCTTGGCAGAAGTCAAAGGTCTCGAGCCTGGATCTTGACGTTGCCACGCAAATTCGCTGAGCATCCTGCTGCTAGCTGAGTCTTTGGGCTCTTTGAATTGAGTTGAACCTTTGTCTTGCTGCAGCCCGATGCACTGCCACACAGCTTCGGCAAAAGCTTCCAAGCCATTCGACCGGCCTTGACAAAGCCGAGACGAAGATCTCGGTTTGCACGCACGGTGCTCCTTAAGAGGGCAAAGCTGAGCTGATGCAATGAGCGGAGTGCGGATGAATGCGGAAGCCGGAGAGCCCTTGCGGCGTTGTGCCTGGTCGCCCATGGTGGAACGGCGCAGTGCATGCCGAGAGTCAAAATCACGAAGTCGAACTCACTACCCTGACAAGCATCCACAGTGAGTACCTGCAGCACAGGAAACACAAGTAGCACACAAACACTTGCCCCGATTTCCCTAAACAAGCACCCTGGAATCGGAATCTGCAAGCTCTCATAGTCATAGCCACCACCTCGACATCGAGGTCACTTGGCACGGCCTGCAGAAACAGCGATTGGGGACGATGAGAGCTTCTGATAATAGGCCAGAGTCAACTGTAACTGGGTGCGAGTGCAAACAATATCCATGTCATCGTCCAACTTGTCTGCAAGGAGGTGGTGGATCTCCAATTTAAACTAAATTTAAACTTTGCCGATGTGCGTGCGGTTGGAGGATGAAACGGAGATCTTGATGAAATGCTCAGGACCCAGGAGTGATGACAGTGGCACCGGAAGGATCCCCCCAGGAAGGTCAATAAGCCAAAAGACTCTCAAACCAATCTGCCCTGAACCTCCTCAACTTAACCCCATACCCCAAAACACAATTACACAAGCCGATCTCATAAATCGACACCCTGCAGAAACCCAAACCTTTCCGTTCCACTCTCTTCTCTCTCTCTTTCTTTCGGCAGGGTTGTGGGCAGGGGAAGTTCCCCTACCCCCCTCTCTCTCTTTGACTCTCCTGGCCTTCATCAGCTCTTCGAGCTGACCCTTGTAGAAGGTCAGGAGAGCCACAGAGGGTTTCGGCCTCCACACAGAACCAGATCACGGATTGGACCCTCCCGCTGGGGGTGGCCGGACCTGAAATCTCCTGGTGAATCTGCCAAACTGAAACTTCGCAGTCGAAAGAGGGCTGCCATCGAAGTATTTCTCCAGTACTCGCCGCCAAGTAAAGAACCAAGGGCGGATCCCAATGCGCTCACGCAAGCGCGTCACGACCTTGAGACAGCTGTTCACCTGCGCAGCGTGAGAGGTTGACTTCTCGCGACAAGCAGCAAACGAAGTAATGCTAGTGAGCGACAGGTAATCTGACCGAGAAGAACCTACGCAGGGCTGCAAGAGCGATTGGAGCACAAATAGTCTTCAGGTACTGGAACCACAGGACGGTTCCAAACCTTCACTTCTGCAAAACCCCATGATGCCCATAACACATCGAAGCGAGGAAGTCGGCCGAAACCCTGGACTCCCCCGTGTCGTCTCCGACCGGCCGGCCGCCGGGGAGTCCAGGATTGCGGCCGAAATGAGGCCGAAAAGCCTCGACCCTCCCAGCCGCAAGCAAAGTTCTGTTTGGAAGGCTTCACAAACGCTCTGTCCCCTCCCTCCCGGCCGCAAGCATTATGCGTTTTGGACGGCCTGAATGATAAAGCTGCCTAGCCGCTAGCAATATGCGAACAAGACAGTCTCGGAAACGCATCTCCTACATTCCCGGATGCAATGAACAAGCAGGCAGTAAACTTGGGTCTCGACAGTAAAACCAATAGATAACCGCGAACCGCCGAACGGAACCGCGCGACCCGAACCGTCATGAACCGTATCCGGCTCATAAACGGTCGGGTTCATTACAAACCGAACCGAAAAGAACCGTGGAGTTGCTGGAATTTAGAGGTGTGCAGAAAGACTCTGTGCTGGTGGAGCGGCCCTGCCTCAGCAGCATTGATGTATGACTTGTTCGGAGCCTCCTCGCGACCTCTGTGCATGCTGGGGGCCTAGGAATACCCGAACAGCTCGGATCTTATCGCAAGCTTGTCGCACATGAACACAGTGTCCCATGCCAGTGGATACCTGTGCAAGCACGGCTGCCCAAAAGGTCTTGAAGTTTTCGTTCCAAGTCTGCCAACAAAGCCACCCCCTGCAAAGCATCCATCCCTGCCTTGGACATCCATCCACACAAGCGGTCTTCGCTCGCAGGCTTGGCGGTCCTTGCGGTGTTCTTTGCTTCTACTGCCAGGTGAAGGCAAACCATGGACCTCATGTGTCTTGCAGCTCATGCAGCTGACATCCCACAAAGCGGAGTCCTCGGCAACTCGCCGTGGAGTTTCCAACCCTTAGCACACCGTGCCAAGCTGTGAAGGTTTACTCCAAGATGATTCCCAAGAATGAGCATGACAACAGCTCCACAGAGTTGAACTTGACTTGCTTGCTGCTTTCGGGGCTTCTGAATAGTTTTCTGTGCTCCCGCCACCGACACCATCCGGACCCCATCGTTCTTCAGCCAAAGCGGCTCCCGCTGTAGAACAAGTTGCTGACAAGGCGGCCGATGCTTGGATGCCTCAGGAGCATACGGCAGACACGAGAACATGGACTGAAGGCTTGAATCATCTTCGTCTTCGAACATCATGGCTGTCCCCGGCCACTGACAGCTATGGCCATAAAGCCCAGGAAATTATGCCTTAGCTGAGGCGGCTGCATTCGGTACTGCTCGCGGAGCTGGTGAACCCTGCGCTTAGACACTTGCGGATTGGAGGCTGTAGCGTGTCAGGCGCCTCTAAGCCTTGGGAGCTTGGGATGGTCTGCGTCTTGAGGGTTACAACGGGTACAATTCATAGCGTCTCGAGCCTTGTGCAGATCGGAATTCATGCATACGCAGCACACATCTTACGGCGCGGTCTGCGCTTGCATGCACGGCACATAAGCCGCTGCAGATGTCACTTATTGCAGGCTGTGGTAAACGTGTTTCTCGAAATGAAACCGTGAGCGCAGTCGAAACTGGTGCCTGCCCGATGCGAGGACACAGCGCTCCAGCAATGAGCGGTTGTGACCAGTTCCCTGAAGTGCAGGCTGAGGGCAAGTTTAAAATATTCGCGGTCCATACGAGACTATCAAGAAGGGCGTGCCATCTGGCTTGACAGCGCAGGTCGAGCTGACTGGGGAATGACAAGGCTGGCATGCTGTGCTGTGCAAACCTATGAGGTGCTGAATTGAAAGTTGATTTCGCGAGCTATTACACTGCAATGATACACAAGACCTGCAGACTACAGTACTTGTAGGGCGCCTCTTCCAACTTCCTACCTTCTGCACCCGTGCCTCCAGGATCTGCGGCTGCACCAAAGACCTGGCACTTGCTGTACTGACAATGCAGTTCTGCTACCGGCAGACGTCGACGTCCGGTCTCCCGACCAGCGAAGCGGCATGCCCGAAGAACAATCGCCGGCACGACGTCGGAGGCAACTGCTTGTGATCGCCCACAAGAACCTCCGAGTGACTAAAGAGTCGCTCTCTTACGACCCCAGCATAAAACTGCAGTGCAGAGCGAAGGAGTGGCGGCTCACGTTGCACTACCACATACTTTAATTTAAGCGGCAATGCCTTGAGCGTTGGACTTGCCGTACGAGCCATCATGTTGTACAAGCCCCACTTCGGCAATCCATGGTGTCAGCTGACTCTTGTGACCATCTGGTCTGCAAAACACAATCACATGTTGTCGGAAGCTCCGTCTCTCCAACATTATGTCGTCATATGCACATCAGGAAACATGGCAGTTATTATGGACGTGTGCCAAGACTTTGCCGAGCTTTGGTGCTTGCGCAGCGGAGCAGTGACATCACTGTGTGCCGCGCCAAGTTTGCGGGCTGCAGCCGCAGCCTTGCCAATGAAAAGTCACTGAGTCTGAGGACCAAGGGATTGGAGTAGCTTGCGGTTGCAAGCTGCGCAATGTCTAACTTTAACAATGTCTAGATTGGGACCCCAAAAGCTGACAGTCTCATGTGTGATCGGGCTTTTCTCATCATTTGCTAGCTGCTAGGGGCAAGTGAATGGAAAAACGCCCATTACATATCGGCATGATCCTTTTCAGAGTTCTTTGCTGTCCCTGCTGTCACATGGTTTCCGGGGCCTCTGCTGGACAGGGCTTTCTGTCACACAGTGCTTTTGGTTCGACGCGGGTTCTAAAAGTTCTGATTTTGAATGGGCGGCTTGGCTTGGTTTGGCTTGGTGGATTAACCTCCAAGATCTCCAAATCGCAAGACATTGAACACGACGGCAGTCGCCGCTGTGGTCCGGGGGGATGCCTTCAGTTTCAGGCATTGCCCTAACACGCCTAGCAGACACTGGTCGAATTGAGCGCGGCCATGGGTGGGAATGGCGTGAGTGGGAGGATCCCTTGGTCGTCTGTGCATCTGTGGACTGTGGACCGGCTAGGTTAGTACCTCGGTAAGGGATCACCGGGGAAAAGCTTAAGGTCCGATCAGGACGACCAGGAGAGACCACGAACAATAGGAGACCGCAGACGGTCCCATAAGCCGCCCAGAGACACTGGCGGACGGTTCCGGTGAATCCAGGTGAGTACTGGCGGAATTCAGGAAGCTTTGGAGTGTGGCTAGAATGCTATTTTCCGCCAAGCACTGGCGGATCCGGACGACGGCCAAAATGCTTTCCTTCGAATGTCATGCGTCCCCCCTTTAAATAGCAGGTGTCAGAAGAACACCTAGAATCCTTTCCCGTGGTGGTCCTAGTCCAACAAGTACTGTTTCACTGCTTCACGGGATCTACATAAAATATGTCCTCGTGCACTGTACATAGACAGAGAAATACGGTAAGCTGAGGTAAGACAGGTAAGATTCGATGAGATGAGATAGTGTAACGGGGTGAGTGGTGAGGTGTCCTCATTTCTTTCTGGATTCGCTCCTGCCTGAGGTACCTGCGCCTGAACCAAAGGATTGTGTTCTGGCCTTTGATTTGGGAGAGGACGAAACGTCACTTGGGCAATCACTGGCTTCATTCTCCACCCTCGGTGTGGGGCTGGTGTTGGACCTTAAAGCAGCTCTTTTGCACGGACTCTCATCCACGCTCCTGGTCCTCGCCCGCACGCTCGCACCCCAAACCCGGAAAACTCCGGATTTCGCACCACCAGGTCAGAAAAGTGTACCACATAATTGCTGTCCCTAGAGTGTCGAGTGTCCCTGCTTAGAGTCTCCAGCAAGTTATTTCTGGATTGCCCGTCCTAAAGTATCCAGCGACAGCCGACAATCCCGCAGATCATCCTTGGAGTGCCCATCCAGAGTTTCTCTACGATAATACATATATATACATATATATATATATGTATATATACACATGCTCCAAAAAAAAATAATTCGCCTCGGCTCTGGTCGAAGCGGTCAGAGCAGTCGCTGAGTGCACTTGGGGTTCGACCAACTGTGTATGGCCCTTAAACGGCCTGGATACACAAATGTACGGGGGGGTGTAGGTCTCCTTTGAGATCTGTGCTATAACTTCTGATACAGTGATACATTATGCATCTCAATATGTCTCCGTATATGCATACTAAATGCAAGTTTGCCGAGCAACGAGCCATCGCTGAGGACTCGACAGCAACGCCGTGGATGACTCCGGCGTGCAGCCGCCTGGCTTCTGGGATGCATGCATGTAGAGCTCATGTATGTGTAGTCGGGAGCCCAGCTGGACGACTGGGAGCGGGCTTCCGATCACTCAGAAATGAACATCACTGGCCAAACTTCGCTAAACTTGCGCGAGATTTTTGCTTTTGCGGATACGAGGAGGTCTTCGTCTCTCCTCTCGCGCAATGTGTCTGGCCGTCGATGGCCTTACGATCTTGGAGCAGCTTCTGTGTTCGATTTCTGCCGCATCGTGTCACGAAAGCTTTCCACTATCACACATGCCCATAGACACGAAGGCGTCAGCCCATGCCTTCATGGGTCTCAGCCAGGTAGCTTGTCGCAGGAGTCAACGCAAGTTGACTTGTAAACAAAATGTGCCCGAAGGGATGGCCGAGGTCGATCGGCTGCTGGAAAAGTCCTACTTGTCTGCACGCTTGTGCACCCTTACGGCCAGCAGCATGCGTAGAATCTAGAAACTCTGCACATGCTCCGAGGACGCATCCAGCAAGAAACACAGCATGACGAAGCAATTCGCTCCCCGCCCGGAACTGCTGCGACCGGCCCGGACCTTAACATGTTAGGGGCACCGATCGGAGTCCGGGAACCCGATAAGTCTATACACTACACATTCACCAGCGAGGGCGAAGGATGTTTCGCACTTTGGTTTTTTTGGGGTAGGTCAAGCAGGTTGCTGGCTAAAGAGAATGAAATTGTGTCTGTGAGTGCATCACATTTACACCGGCGGTGCAAACCTTCGCAGCTGATTCTCAGACATCTTCAACTCCGTTTTGGAGTAGGGTCACCCCACGGAGCAGGAGCACAAGAGTAGGGACCTGAACTTGAACACTTTTGCTGCATGAGCTCTTTAAAGGTCAGGTCCCCTTGCAAGGGTTCAGAGTAAACATCATCCTTCCCTCCAGGACAGGGGGTGGTGTCTCTGAAACTGCTGCTGCTCAGATCTGCTCAGGGGATCTTGCACAAGCAGATGCACCAGCTCTGCTTGCCCCAAAAGGTGCAGCTGCCCTTCCGCTGGGGTCAGCAACTGCTTGCTTGAAACGTTCAAACACATCCACTCCATCTGGTTAAACGGACTAGCGAGGAGGTCGTTCCAAAGTAGTCCCTCGAGGGCTATACTGGCGCTACTGACTCAAAACTCAGATCCAAAAAAATCCTTTCGAAAGGGCATACAAACATGGAACACACCTCCGTTTGGAGAGTTGCAACCAGCAAATTCTCTGCCTCTGCTGGGGAAGTTCCTTATTCTCACTCTTGCCTAGATGGCGTCGTAGTAAAATCTCCAGACCTTGCATGCATGATGAATGCGTTTCGCGTGTTGGTAGGGCGAGACTCCGAACTGTCTACACTGTACACTCATGACAAACTTTAGGAAGTACAACTAGCAACAGCTACCGGACCAAGTTCTCAACCTTTAATTTGGGCACGAGCACATGCCTCACATTCGCAGATGTCAGTGTTTCCATACGGGATTTCAGATCTCAGATGTTTCTGACACTTTCGATCCTACGGAACAGAAGGTCCTGAAAGTCGAATTGTGACAATGTCCGAACCATCTTACGAATCTGACAACTTCAATTCCCGCGGCCTGATAATTGTCGTTGCTTCTGATTCTTAGGAGTGCTTTTCATGAGAGAGTCTCAGAAAGACTTCAAGAATCTTCAGAGTTTCTAGGCAAGCTGCCCGGGGCGCACGGGTGCGTCTTGGGCCCTGCCCGACTGCCAGGTCGGAGTCTGAATCTGAATCCCTGCGGACGGAGGGTTTGAGGCTGTGGCAGTGAGCCGTGGATGCATCCGGCATCAGAAGGTCAGGCTTGCAACTGGACATGTAGGTCAACATGCTCCAGGTGCGGGCGATGGTCGTCTTTATCATCAACATCAATGTCATCATCACCACCACCACCTTCGCCCGGCGCCTCCTCTGCATCATCTTCGTTGCACACACAAGAGCACGATTCGAGAGGTTTGTATGTTCACATCTGACGTGGAGTTGCTCAAGTGCTGCAAAAATACTGCCAGGTGCCTTTGCATGTGTAAGATCCATCTGCCCTGTTTACAGCCAAATCATACCATTCGACAGAGGTATGAGCAGTTGCAGCATATTCGCCTCGCCCAACTGGTGTGTGTGTGTGTGTTCGCCGCACGGTTTGCCTCTTGCCCTTCTGTAGCATGTTGCCTCGCCCTGTCTCTGGGCTCGTGATGCGACATGACAAAAGGAAAGCATCGCGCAAAACACAAACTTGATTGGCGGTTCACAATCGGAGTTGCGCAAAAATCGTCAAAAAGATGCAATCACCAAAAACGTGATTCAAAGTTTAACACACTGTCAACAACGCAGCAAGTACCCAAAAAAACGACACGTACGAACGGTCGAAAACGTGACAGCAATTACTGTGCGTACTCCTATTTCAATTATTTTTAACATGTCCACAGTCCGGCAAGCAGTTTTGAATCCAAGGGGGCTGTGGTAGCGCACTTTCTTGAAGTTCGTGGTTGTCACCAACCCCCCCTTGCCCGCACGCGTTAGCACCCCCGATTGTTGCGGAACGACTTATTAGAAAAGGCAAACTCTACCAAGGCTACTACTTCGGTCAAGATGTGAAAAGCGCATGAAATACAACAGGAGTCAAAAGACTGAGCTAACTTCCCTGCTGATGCCCTTTTCCGAAAGCTTGGTCCCGCCAGTTGGCGTGCTTTACTTCATGGCATGCAGTTACTCAGGGATGGCCCCATACGCGAAAAGGGAGGATAGAAACCAAGTGCAGTAGACGTAGTAGCAAGCCCAACCAAAATGGGGGATGCCGGTGTTGCAGCTGCTTCGGCACTGGTGAGGTGCAGAAAAGCACAGATCCCTGCAAATCCGCGTTACCGTGGGAGCTTTTCACAAGGGCAGCATGAAAACAGAAGTGTAGTATGGCTCTGTCGGTTGATGGGAGCCTTTCACAGGGGCAGCATCAGAACAAAAGCGGAACAAAACAAGGAAATGCAGTTACAGTGCGGCTCCTGGGACTAGAGGATGTTGAAGAGCCCCTGTTTCAGGGTGTTTATGTGGACTGTGCCGTGGTGTTATGACGGGCGTAGACACTACAGCCTGTTCAATGAGAAAGCTTCGTAAGTGCCATGCAACCGACGTCGTCGCAAGAGGTAGGAAAAAGACCAGCTAAGAGGAACACAGCTTTCGGCTCGCGATAAAAGAGTACACCACGAGGCGCCATAATGTTGACTTCAGTTT